GCACAGTGCTCGAGTCTTGCAGGCGAGTCTCTGATAAGCAGCAGATATCGATCGAGAGGGTCTCCAATGTTCGGGCAAGTGCTGCCTGTTGACCGATTTGTAGCAGTGTGCGTACATTGAGGCATGCCAATCTGAAGGAGGATCGAGGGCTCCAAATGCAAGCCGATGAACTGGATAGGACCGCTTGGTTGGACATGGGCTTGTCGACAGGAGAGGAGTGACGCTCCGCGTTCACATGAGTTGAAATTAGAAGGTAAATGCCTAGCAAAGCATGTTGGGGAGGGCCAAGAATCGGGGGGTTGAAAACTGGGGGGATATAAGTGAAGTTGGAATGGGACGGTAAGAGTGAAAAAGCGTAAGAATAAGAATAAGAAGACGGGAAGGCTTGAGCAGTAGCATCCAAACCCCTATCCACCCTGCTCGATGCAGCAGATAGGGCACCGTTTATTATCCTCTGCGGTGGCCAGAGCATCAAGAAATTGTTTGAAGGAAAATTCATAGTATTGCGTGGGCAGGATACTGTCAGGTTGCCCAGGCCTAGACAGGAGAACGATTAGGGTTCTCAACCAAAGCCTTTGGTTCAAAAACCTGACCGCAAGGCAGCGGGTTTGGCGTTGGGCTACAAGGAGTCCATTTTAAGGAATAAGGTGCCACCCTCATTCCAACCCCCAACCTGGAGGACCAGGAGGCTGAGTTTGTCTGGCCTCTAACCATTGACCAATCTGGTATGAGTGACTCTGAAGGTGCAAAAGCACCACCCAGCATAGCTCAATGGATCGCTGAGGCACACAAACCATCGCACCACGGTAAGGTCCAGCCTCATTGCGATGTCTGACCTCCATTGCCTCTAAATTGCTTGCGTTTGTCATTCTTCACAGACTGACTGGCACTCGTGAAAGCCAGGTTCGTGAAGAGCAAGCTGGATTTCATCGAGGTCCGGGTTGCATCCACCACATCTTCACCTTGCATCACTTGTTGGCGCACCATCATGTTTATTTGCGACCCACCATTGTCGTGTTTCATGACTTAAAACGTCAGTTCCATTTAGTCGATCGATGTGCCCTTCGGAACTGTCTGCTGAGGAAAGATACGCCTGATAAATACGTAAACATTATCAAAGCGCTGTACGCGTATAGTTCGGACAGAGTGAGGGTTTATGGCAAACTGCCGCCACCCTTCAGTATCACCAGCGGTGTGAGACAAGGTTGCCCGCTGTCACCTTTCCTATTTAACTTCGCAGTTGACGAAGTCATGGAAACAGCATTCGCTGTACACGACCTAGAAGGTGTGGAACTACTTCCTGGTGAGCGACTTCTTGACTTGGAGTATACGGCCGATATTCTCCTAATCTATGGCAGCTCCCAAACATGCCAAGCAGCACCGGACCGATTAGCACTGGCTGTCTACCGTTTTGGGCTATGCTTTGCTCCATCGAAATGCAAAGTGCTTTTCCAGGATTGACAGGGACCCACCCCTGCGCTAACACTTTGTGGTGATCAGCTAGAAGTCGTTCAGGAATCCAAGTACGTAGGCAGCTATATTAGGGCCCGTGGGATCGAAGATGAGGTTACGATCCGTATAGCAAAAGCTCGAGGTGCATTTGCGAATCTCTGCCACCTGTGGCGCAGACGCGACATCACTCTCATCCTGAAGGGCAGAGTTTATAACGCAGCTGTCCGTTCAATTCTCCTATATGGTTGTGAAACCTAGTCCATCAGGTCTACAGACATAAAGAGGCTCGTCACATCCGATCATCGCGGCCTCCGCAGTTTATGTCATGTCTGGTGTGAGCGATGAGCGTGTTTGGCGTCGCGTACTTGGTGCAGGAAGAGCGAGTGAACCGCTCAGCACCATTATATCACGCACTACTCTTCGGTAGCTGGGCTACGTGTTGCGCATGCAGGCACACCGACTCCCGCGACGTGCATTGTTTGCGCGCCTGGGTGCGGTTGGAAGAGGAGGAGGGGAGGCCTGGCGATGACTTGGTCGAGAGAAATGAAAACCCTCACTTCGAAGTTTGCGTCGGTTGGTGCATTCCGACTGTCTGGCTGGGGTCCTAAGGTCGATGAACACGTTTGGTTGGACACACTTGCTATTATGGCTAGGAGCCGGCCTTAGTGGCGTTTGTGTTGTGATTTTCTTTGTCCATTCCCTCCCTTTAAGTTCCCCCCGAATCCCAATCTCATGCAAAACGCATAATATTATAGTTAACCCAATTTTTGTAATGTAATTTTTAGTCTCATGTTTTTGTATTACGGCACATTAGCTGAGGTGGGTTACTTACGCTCAGCTAACTTGTACTGATGGTGATGATGTGTCGGCGAGTACTCATGGTTATGGTTTAAGATTTTGCAAACTGTTCTCTTGCTAACACTGAAATGTTCTACAGTGTTTCTTTGGCTGGCATCTTTCAGAAAATATAGCAAACAATCTCCTTCGATGTCAGCTCTTTGGGCAACAATGTTTTGTTTAACAACAAACTTTTCTATTTGGGATGGTGTTTTTGATGTGCGTCACCTCTGAAATGGACAAACATCATTACGTTACTCTCTTTACCCAACTACAGTGCTTATACATATTAAAAAATAAATACGCTGTAACGGCGCTTCGCTGCCGCGCGACCACCAGTCGCGCGTGCGCTGAGTATACCGGTAGGACGTCCGCCCCTACGCGGGATTCGAACCTGTGACCTTGTAATTGCAAGCCATCTGCTGGCATACAGATCACGATATGCACACATTGCACTTTTTTCCTCAGATCATAAAATAGGATGGTTACTGCTGGAGCAGACAAACATTGTGTGTTATCCGCCTAGAAAACCATGCACTCCACGATTGGTTTCGAACTGTTTTGATCTCATCAGGTAGAGATAGCGGCGGCCACTGCTGCTGACCGAACGAGTTGTTCGTCGACCATTGCACAGCATAGATTTACATGGTCAAGTTATGGTTGTTTAATTATTAAATGGTCGATATACAACTTACATAGGTGGGCAGTATACAGATGTATGCTTCCTTGTGTTGACATGGCGAACGTCGAACCTATGAAGAATGGTCAATCTAGGAAGGTGGTTAGGATATATGGGTGGTCAACTTTTGAGGTTTTACTGTAGTAATGTTGTAAATACTGTCGCCGAATGCCACAAAGCTTTTATTTGTGCTCACCTGTCTTTTGTGTACTTCACGCCCTCTGTCATTTTTTTATTGAATCTTCGAACGCGATCGTTGGGAAATGTTGGCGGATAGCGCGCTCTTGCCAAGCATCACTTGGATCCATAGCATCTGATGCCTAGATTATTGGTGAACTGAACTGAGTCGCTTGAATCGTTTTTTGTTGCATCAATGATAGACTTACATTAAGCCACCTGTTCTGAGGCCGCTTAGAATGTTGAATCTTGGTAATTTTACTTGGGCCCATTATAAGTTTGTTTCGGTTTATACGCTTCAGGAGTACCACACTATAGGTAGTTTTTCTTGTCGAGAGAATGAACTACTAAAGACTCACTTTTTCGTGAAACCGCCGCTCGTTACAGTGCACATAGTTATTGTAACACTGCCGCGTCCTAACTCAGAATGCTGCCCTGCCTGACAGTTTTCACAGTATCATTTGGTCTGCTTGGGGTTATTCTTGCTATATACGTGCGTCAGCACCCCTTCGACTGTGTTTATCTCCCATGCTGAGGTTGATGTTTCATTCATGATGCATCTTCACCGCAGTCGGGCTAAATCAACTTACACTAAAACTGGTTATTTTTAAACAGGATAAATTTCATTCCACTTTATTTGGTTTTGTTCTGCCTACTTGAATAGTCTTCTATTAACTTGCACACGTTGCCAACGCTAATAACTTTTTTGCGTTTCTGGCATTTTTGAATAACCTGTGGACCCTTGGTACCTATTGCTGATTTGTTGCTAACCAACTTATTCCATATGCTAATTTAGCGAAGAGCTATGTCTGCATAGCCGGATGCTTTAACATATATAATTTATTTGATAATGTCACTTCAAGTGATTGGTTGTTGTTCGATATCCCCCTTGTGGCCACGCTTGATGTGCATGCTGCCAATCTGTCTATTACCCACTACCTCGTCCATACTGGCTCCAGGAGACATTTGATCGTTGCTGGAGGGGACGGGGTGCACGGTCCTTGTGGCCGTGTTAGGCCCGAAGAGTGGTTCCATGCAGTCAGTGTGGAGCGAACTACGGTCCAGCCACCGTCTTGTGTACGACTGATTCCCAATTACAGCGTGCTTGTGTTTGCCTGTGAAGGTGTGGGCTGGCTCCGTTGATGAAACCTGGCTCCCATCCACATGTCTCCCGGTCTTATTCCTTCGGGTTTACACTGGATATGGGGTGTGTGGTTGGAGCTGTGGGTGGTGCAGCGCAAGCCATCCATGGTCCCTCTGTAGGCGCAGGCGTCCTGTGGCTGGCCACAGTGACAGGCAAAACCGAATGCCGCCAACCATGTTGGCAGAAATCGTCTCCATTCCAAGCCATTCTGAGTTCTAAATTGCTTCTACTGTGGATTACAGAACATAGTTTGATCGGGCTTGTCTAGGATGATTTATTCGTTCGCTCATCTAAGACAAAGTGGCTGTCGTTGATGTTATATCATTTTATGGATTTACCACAAAATTGAGCCATGGGTTACTCTGCGGACTTTTCTGATGATTTTTGGAATCAAAAACATGGATGGTTTCTGCTCACTGAAGCCCATTCCATAGGAATATTATTCAAGTGTAGAATCATCAAGTTCTCAATCGAACACCCCCTTCAGACTGTACTTGTTGATGAAGTACGTCAGTTATCGCTGATATTCTCAGCGGCAGGGTGTAATTCTAGTCACCGCCGGTACCCACTGAGTGCAAACTAGTTTTAAATCATCCCTGCTATCCATGGTCATATTGATAATAGCTTCTATTCATATCGTGCTCATCCTCACCGATATAGTTGAATCTTGAGTCTTGACACGTGCATATACAATGGATATTTTGTTTTTAGAAATCGGAAAATCCTGTCAAGATTGAAAGCGAATTGTCCGTAGAGGAATTAGCGTCATCGAATTCAATGGGAGATATTTCCGTTCTGTCGAAATTCAATACCACAATGTATGGTGCGTGTTTAGATTGTGAGAATGACAAGTACGTACGTAGCTTAGCTCAATCCTTAGAAACATCGAGAGGCGGCAGTGAAGACCTCGCGTTCGGCAGTTCATACTTTCCTTCGGAGTTGACTAATACGGACACGAACACATCGGATGAATCATGTATCCGGAGACGTTTATGGGGACCAGAAAACTCTGTGAACATTGCCTCGTACGAAGACACCTTCGTTACAGAAGCCAGCGCATCACAAGTGAGTATCTTTCCTCTAGAGTAAGCTGCTCGCTAGAAAATCCATTTTTTCGTTTCACTGCAGTTCAGTCAGTATGCAAAGTTGCTTTTCCACAACAAGTAAACAGCGCAACTGTCTTATTTCATAACAATTGTGGTTGATGCTCTGCTCCGACCAGTACCTCACGTTTCGGGTTTTTATAGCTTAAATACTCCGCTTTCTCATTTGTGTTGCTCACGATTTTATGCAGAAACATGCAGTGGAACTGAGTAACTGTCTCGACCCGTCAGAAAACACCCCTTGAAATGTGGAAGGCGTGAACTACCCCCTGCCTTCTTACGGCCGCAGATTTCTCCGATTTGATTTGTTTACGCCATTAAGCAGTAAAAATATAGGTAATAATAATAACAACAACGTTTGTCTTGTTAAAAATTGAGAACGTTATTGTTACTATTTTTTAGTCGAGTTGACAAATCAACTCGAAAATGTTTCTGCGCTAACAAAGCAAAAGCCAATTCATGTTTTCCCGCTCTTCAGACGGTGCTCGTAGCTATCGATTCTTGTGGATGCTATGGCGACACCAATGCACCTACTCCACACATATTTCCTTAGGATAATGCAATTCATTTTGAAAGACGTAACATAACTTATTGGTTGGTGGTTTCGGCTAGATAGGCATTGTGTTTAACGTGCTCACGGATACATTTTGGAGGTTGTGCTTCTGATCAGAAATTAGCCACTTACAACGTTGATCAACTCGTAGATTTACATGCAGTTCGGTGTAGTCGTGCCGGAATTTCCTAGTCATCACATGAAAAGAATCGACTCTCATAATTGTTATGCACTTGTTTTTTTTTATCTTCATAGCGCGTATATAACCCCACTTTCTATTCAGCTTGATCAGGAATATAATTCGTCGTGTTCGGCCTTCGTTTCGGACTCAACTTCCCCCCGCTGTTATGACAGTTCCGGATATGCGTTGGGATCGTCGGTCTACTTGACTCTGACACAATCGTGCTCTTCAGTCCATTACAAACCATATCATCCTAGTGGAACTGTGCTCTCAATCGATGCTGCGACAAGCATCCAGATTTCGGCCGACCACACAAACACTTGTATTTCGAGTAGCATCAAGGATGAAGGATTACCCATTGAGTCAATTCAGCAAGACTCTGAGCTTCAGCGTTGCCATTTGGAGCCCATCTCCTCTTTGTTCAGTCGTCGGCTCTCAAAGGACGTGCACTGTTTGGGTTCAGCTGTTGACCAGTCTTCTGGCAACTGTATCGCCCAGCCTGACTTGACGGGTATTAACGGAACAAAAGATGAGACTATGGCGACCATGCAAACGGTGCCGGATTCATTTTTCCAATATGTACCTCTACATCATTCTGAAACGAGCACAAATGTCGGAAATGCTCCCACTGAAGCACCATCCAGATCCGCCTCCCCTTACGTCGAAAGCGTTAGCGCCTAAGTCCAGTTGTCACCCGTCGCAGTGGATGTAGGCATTTTCGGGTGGGTCTTTGTACAGCTCATTTTATTTTCATCCTCCATTCTGATATCCACGTTTCACTTCAAATTGTGTCATCATTAACAATTTTAAAACTGACTTGCATCATGAGAGGTGACCTACTGTGATACTTGTCCGACTATCTTCAATACACGGATCTCATTACCTTTAATAAAGGTGTTTTGTTTTTTCGATTAGTTTGCTCTTTTCGTTGATGCGCTAACTATCAACGCGACCTATGAATTTTTCGTAGTTTTCGTGACTCATTGTCTATGTGGTTTGTTGGTTTTACGGTAGGTTCATCATTGCCGCGTCTCGGGTTAGCCAAAACAAATTATTAAGGGTAAAAAGATCACTGCCTAACAACTCCAGTGGGGTGCAGAGTTGAAAGTAATCGTGGTTAAATGAAAAGTGTTTTAGTGGGCTCATCATACTGTTCGCATTGAGACATGCGCCGAACAGCCAAGATGTTCAAATGATAATATATAAGTCCAACTGGTTAGAATTCTAGAAACACTGTTTTGTTGCGTTACGTAGCCTCCTAGCTAACACAAGTTGTAAAGTAGTAAAATATCCAGTTGGATGATTAAAAACCGATACGTTGTAAAATGAAATGCCGATGCATTGAGTCACCTCCCGCAGCAGCAGAGCACAACGAACTATGAACCCCTGGAGCTTGCCAGTCTGATACAATACTTGGAAAAGAATTCTGATCGAGTGTATGCAATGCTGTCTCACGAAGCAGGTTGATAACCCACTACACTTCCTTCTCCACGGGTAGCCAATTGGAGCTGCAGCTCGTCACGTGATGCGCCATCCCTATGACCATGTCTGACAACGCTCAGTCAGTAGAGCCAACAGTCGACTGCTACTGGGGAGTTGGCCACGCGGAACAACCCCAAGTAAAACGATCCAAGTGCACGCCCAAGCAGTTAATCGTTATCAACCCTGAGTCTACAGTCTTCTTTGGGGGAGAGGGATGCCACAAATACACTCGTGAGCAGAGGTGTCTTCGCGACTGACAGACATTTACTTTCCTTATTTCATTAGTCCTTCGTTACGGTTTTTGGTCGTTGCAAAGTAGCAACATTTTGTTAAACGGTTTCTACTCTAAACTGCGCGTTCCGTTGCGCCCACAGTGCTGCGACCCACAACTAACAATTGTTCCATGTGATAGATCGCTTCTCAGCTTGCTTCCCCTCATCAATGATATCCTCCAACCCTACATCAAAGAGGTAGTATCAGAATACCAGGGGTGTTCAAAAAGAAATCAAACTTTTGAAATAGCGCAGCAACCGATATAGAGGGAGCGCGCTGCAGCTACTGAGCGCATTTGAAGGCTTGTTTAGATAACAAACTCCTATTTGCCGCATTTTGCTCTGACTGTTGGTTGGGGAGCTACAGTTGCTGAAGTGAGCACGTGCACAAGCTGTTCGTCGGATTAGTGCCAAAGTGACATTGAAAAAGTTTTAAGAACAACGCGTGTTTGTGTGTGAAATTTTGCTACAAACGTGACAAAAATTCTGCAGAAACGGTTCAATTGCTTAGCCAAGCATACGGGGAGGACTGTATGAATCGCACGCAGTGCTATATTTGATTTTAGTGTTTTGAACACGGTAGAATGTTGGCCGCGGACGATCCCAAGCCTGGACGGCCTTCCACATCGACCGACGAAGACCATGTCGAGAGAGTTCGTGCGGTGATCCGCGGAAATCGTCGTTTAACTGTTCGAGAAGTGGGCATCAGTATAGGATCATGCCATCAAATTCCAGCGCGTTTGATGGATGTCGTGCGCGGGAAAACTAGACTTGGGTGTTGCATGCTAACAATGCGCCGGCTCATGCATCGCTCCTTGTCCGCAGCTATTTGGCAAAACATCACACTCCCGTTGTGCCCCGTATTCTTCGGACCTGGACCCTGCAGACTTTTTCCTGGTTCTCAAACTTAAAACCACGTTGAAAAGGCGTCGTTTCCAAACCATAGAGGGGATTCAGAACAATGCGACACGAGACTTGCGCCCCATCCCAGAAAGTGTGTTCCGGATTTCCCAAAAAATTTATGCATTGTTGAAAATGATGTATTGCTAGTAGAGGGGACTGCTTCGAGGGGGAAAGTGTTTAAATTGTTGTGCAATGAGTAATAAAGATGTTATAGCAAAAGTTCGTTTACTTTTTGGACACCCCCTATATATCAGGGTCTCCGTATCTTCTTTATTTTCCTACCCAATAGTCGCAATGAACTTATTTGCTTAAACCACAAAACGCTGCAAACCGGTTTTGAACGATCGCTGATTATTACTTGCATCAACGCTATGTAAAAATCGGTCCCATACTACTAACCTACCGATAGTTTGTGCATGCTGAGTCTGTAGACGCTAGATTATGAGTAGATGATGCCTATCTGGATTTGTCAGATGCATTCGATCATCTGAATCCTCGCATTCTACTTCACAAGCTTTAGAATCATGGAATTGTTATCACACTTTGGGTTGGGTAGGCAACTTTCTCCTTCCACATCATGTAAAGATGAGAGTTCACAGCACCCTATCCAATCCAACCGAAGACCAGTGCGGAGTATCTCAAGGCTCGTTACTCGGGCCAAGCCTGTTCCTGGTCTTCTTAAATGACCTCACGAGTGCTCTATCATTAAACTTCTAACTATTTCTGAGGAGTAGTAGTGGGGATTTTTGTATAATTCTGCTAACTAATCATCGTCACTCCCAATCAGCAGCCTTCGGCTAGTCTGGAAAAGCACCAGACGTCAGCGTTTCGACTTTCTGGGTCTCGTCCATGGGGCGCCTCCCAGTGGACCCTGCTGAGTTCCGCCCCCATAACTTCCGGATGCCAGCAGCTAGTGCCACTTCGCCATGGGTGACAGCCACGGAACTGCGTGATTCACAGTTGACTATGATATAGCCCGGCTTATCTTCCGCTGCCATGTCAGTTACGAACTGTGCAGAGGGCAGTGGCTAACCTCACGTGCTAGGATTTTCGGCAACGCGTTTATGTACGACAGGACCTAGAAGCTATACGGAGAGATTTTGCATTACTGAGGAGTAGTATTGAGGATTTTGGTATAAATCAGCTAATTCATCATCGTCACTCCCAAGTCCTAGCTCGCGATGCTAGCCACTGTCCTCTGCACAGTTCGTAACTGACATGGTAGTGGAAGATGAGCCGGGCTATATCATAGTCAACTGTGAATCACGCAGGTCCGTGGCTGTCACCCATGGCGAAGTGGCACTAGCTGCTGACATCCTGAAGTTATGGGGGCGGAACTCGGCAGGGTCCGCTGGAAGGCGCACCACTGACGAGACCCAGAAGGTCGAAACGCTGGCGTCTGGTGCTTTTCCAGATTAGTCTAAGCCTGCTGATTGGGAGTGGCGATGATGAATTAGCTGAATTTTAACCATTTCCAATGGCGTGTTATCACTGCATTGGAGGATAACATATCCCTACAAGATGATCTGAATAAAGCATGCACATGATCCATCGAGAACATGCTGCAGCTCAACGCTACCATGTTCAAAGTTCTCAACATACGCCACCAAAATATTCACAACATCCGGATTGGGGCGCTTCTCATAGGTGTGATCTCGGCGTGCTCATGTAACATGACCTTGGTCGATTGAGACAAACCGAAGTGGCATCAATGAAAGGCAATCAGTCCTTCGGCCTCCTGCGTACGGCGTTCGGGAAGTTCGACGCCTCAATATTTCTGCAAATGCATTTCGCGTACGTTAGGCTCCACGCGGGATACGCTATGCAACCGTGAAAATCTTAGCAGAAGCGCCACCTCACTACGCTCCAGACTGCACAACACGGCGACGAAAAACGTCCAAGCTTTGACCGACCTTTCTTACCAACTCAGGCTAAAAACTAAACATGCACAGCGGACATTACCGACTTCTACAGATATCAGATATTAAGAGACCTAAACCACACTTGCCACCATCTTCTGAAACTCAACCAAACAAACATCTCTGAATGGCTATCAGTTTAAACTTGTCACGCAGTACGACCGACTGGAATATCACTGTAAATATTTCTCCATCCGAGTGTCACAGCCCTGGAATTCACTGGCATGTAATTAATGCTGCCAACTTATCACTATTCATCCAAGGTCTTTAATGCACACGGACACATTTTCACTACGTGATATAGCCCATGAGCGTCAGATGATGGCATTAGTGTAAAACAAACAGATAACGGTACCATAATCCTCTTAAAATCAAGGTAGGAAATTTAACAAATGTGCTACTGCAAATCTCAAGGTGAGTCATGCATCTCGCGCGTTCTTTTACCGACACATTGCACATTTTATAATCATCACAACAGCCAACCTGCGGGACATTTAAGGTATTTGTTTAAAACCTGTAATAAACCGTTACAACATTGGTCAGTTTTTGTGCACTAGTGATATGCCAAATTAATATGTGCTGTCTTCTAAATAGTATTCTTGGTACGCAAAACAGATTTTTGATAATTCATTGTCAGGTTCTCACAGTTATGTGAAATCCGAAATTCGTGGACAGAACCAAGGGTCCTCAGTCAGCCACTGGCTTCTAGCATACGATGATAATCATCGTCAGGCAGTTCACCATTGTAGCGTCCACGCGTTCGCACGGATCAACAAGAAACTACCCAGGTAACGGTAGACTCTGCGTGCAACTTCGTGAAGGTGGTGTGGTTGTTTTGCTCTTGCTCCCGGTATTTTTTCATTATGGATGCAAGAACCTACAGTCAATTCGAAGTGCTTGGGGCTCTCTTTCGCTTACCGGCACACGAAACTGTACGCTGGTTAAGCGGAATCTTGTTTCGTCCCTGGATCCTGTCCTGCCAGTCTATTATCTTTTCTATTAGGGACACAATGACAGCTTCATTGATGTCACGATTAAGCAGCAAACAAGATAGATTTTGGACATATTTGTCAGGTTCGGTTGGAAATGTCACACTGCAGGTTTCTCTTCCTTTATTGTCCACCTGAGCGAAATGCGTAACTTTGCTTCTTGTTTTGTGATAATTTCCTTGATTGTTTTCCGCAGCGGATAGCTTCGTTAGGATAGTACTCAACCGGCTCACTGCACGGTTATGCTCATCCCTTCTGATACCAGTGTTATCCATCTGACACAGTGCTAGAAGTTCCAGGCACTTGCTGTCCGGCCTGATGCGTGAAAAAGAAAGTATTAGCAGATGAGGTGAAATTTTTGAAAATGGCAGTCCAGTGAGACAACTAAGCAGAACTAATACAAAACGAAAGAATAGAGAACTAATACAGAACGAAAACGAAAGAACTAATACAGTACACAAAACCAACTAGAACACCCCTGTCGAAGAATTACGCGGCCCATTTTTACTGACCGTCGGCTTACCGAGATTCCGGAAGGCGCGTACTGCACCTTACGCTGTTCGGGACACGTTTGAGAGTTGGCGTCGCAGACTCCGATAAAAGGGAACAATTAAATCCTTCCAGTATTCGTACTGAGTACTCCCTATAGAGCCTGTATTGAAAAGCAGTGGTGGGTGACTACGAGGTTACAACTATCCGGGCACTATCAGACTGATATCCATTGCCGAAAATTGAAGGTACGCTTATTTTCTGAATTTTTTTTATCAAACTAGTCCCGAGTCACGCCCACCAATATATCGAACTAGTTGAGGAGCCTTGTCTACATCACTATCAACATACACCTAGGCCTTTTGGAGTAAGCTGTGCGCTAGCTGTCTTCCAACGTATTATTGACCCACTGACTGAAGACATACCAAATGCATCCACCTACTTTGATGATATCTTACTGCTAGGTAAACTACCGTTGGACATTTACTCGCCTTAGATCGTTGTCAGACTCCGGGCTTGTTGTAAAAGAAGGACTGTTATTTCCTTGGCCAAGTGTATGTTATCCTGGACATCTGTTGTCGCGAGAAGGGTTATGTCCGTTAGAAGAGGACAAGAGCATTTGTTGTGTCGGACTGCTAGGATAGACCAAAAGCTAGAAAGGACGAACAAAATGGAGAGTACGCGGCAGAGTGGACGTTATTGGAGACTAAAGACGTTAGTTGAACTGCACTGAAACAGACCACTCTAGTTATAGCTCGACTGACCATAGGTGTTGATCTCGGATCAAAACTAGTCTGTTGATTGATGCCTTTCCGGTGTGTTTCAACTTGACCCTTAGGCACTAGTTGGTTTTGACCTCTTGGCCTCAGCTTGTTCTGAGCTTCGGTTCAGATGATCGTTTTGACCAAGGATCGTGAGCGTCGTTGATCTGCGCTCGCGGAATCGCATCTACCAACCAGCACTACTTAATAAAGCTCCCGGACCAAAGAATGAAACGAAACATTCACTCCTAGGGGCAACCATATAATTTTCCCGTTTCATACCGTCAACAACAGCCAACCTGTATTCACACAATTAACTCTACGCAAAAGTTAAAATTAGGACAGTTTTCACGAGTGTGATCACGAGGTTTGGCATCCACCGAGATTCTTGTGCATTATGACCTATGGAACTCAATTATTCCTTCTTGCGATGCTTCATCCTGCGACCTTAGAGTATAAGCCACCGACCGGTTCCCAACTACCCGTAGCTTATGTTTCAGAAATCCGGACAGCAGCAGAATGAAATTACGCTCACCTTGATTGACAGGCAGTCACTGTAGCTTTCGGTACTACCCGGCTTCACCAATGCTCATTCGGTTTACTTTATGTGAGCTATATAGACCATAAACCTCGTTTATCCCTCTTGATCACGAAATTGGGGTCCATCAAATGACCTTTCCCAGGATGGTCCGCTGATCCCTTATTCCGTCTGCATATCTATGCCGAATACAATACTTTTCTGGACGGAAGAATACGATCACTGATGCTACTAGTACAATTCCCCTACCGGGATTGCCTTCGGAATAAGTTCAGAGAGGTTTGGGAATCATCGGTTTGTTTACTTGTTGGGCAGCGTTTCGCTCTTGACGTAAAAATTCCCTCAAGCCTGGTGAATTAGCATGCAATCGGAGCGGCATTTTATAGCGAACTAGGACGACAATTGTGATAACAAGCACTGACAGCCACAAGCAAGTCTTCTCGCCGATCCCGCCTTATCTTCGTACAAAAACCAGCTTTTTGTGACCATGTGTGGTCGCTGTTCCTGTTATCTGCCCACGTCTTTTAGGTTTATTAATCGCCACTATGTAGGTATCAAAGTTGTATGACAGCAGGCATCAGCCCAATCTGTCAATGTACCATTGTTTATCGATCATTCTGACCCGCGGGGTCACATCCTATTTCGCAGTCATTTATCATTCATGGCTGTCACTCATGATTAGCTCGTAAGAGAAACGTAATGGGTTTGAATCCGAGGGGTGCGCGCTTCTGACGAGTCCCATTAGGAGGAAACGGCCGTCCAGCGCTCTTCTGGATGTATGGTGGTTGTCTGGCTAAGTCTACCTGCGACGAATCTTCTCAAAAACAGTGATTCCCCTACTACTCACTGATAATCAGTAATCGCCTGAGCAGCTTAAATGCCACCTCGATTGGCGGCGGCTTGTAAAAGAATTCTTAGCTCTACACGGAGTCAGGTGCACCGGCTTCCCAAGGATGTGGGGTGTACTAAGCACCTGTACTTCCCCATACCTTTACAAAAAACTCGATAATGGGTAAGTACCTCAGCAAATTCTTTGTCAAACGTATAGCAAGTGGACAGTATAGCCTGACCTGGCTACTATCAACATCGAACAGGCTGAGTGGCTTACACTTCTGCATTTTGCCCACATCTTCCCTTAAACAGAACTGACACACCACCGATTCTCAACTACCGAATAGTCATTAGAAGCTGCTGTTCGGGGCGTTGCCAGTGGCCGAAAAGATTGCGCGCTTTCTTTGTAATCTTGAGGTTGCCGGATGGAATCCGCGTAATTGTAGGCTACCCCTCGATACACCCAGCCCTCGCGCGACATGGTAATCGCATGGCAGCGAAGCGTCGGTACAGTTTACTGCTGATGCACTTTTGTAAATCGAGGGAATAAAGGGATTGGTCATCAATAACTATCATTGTCTGTGCAGTGTTTCGCCCACCCGACTGAGCAGTACCGAAGTCGGCTAATCGTAGTTTAGCCAAAACCCCCCATCGTCCCACTGTATCTTCTTTCGAATTTGAGCCATCTGCTCTGGGTGGATCACGTTGGTTGAATACCTGTCGATTGCCACTTCGGTGTGCATCGTGTTGCTGGTTTGGTAAAGAAACGTAGGAACATCGATTAAAGGAATTTGTTGGACCAACGAGATCGATCATGTCAATTATCGAGCTCTCTTACACTAACGACTGGAACTTGAGATCACGAGTGCCCTTGTTTCTCGCTGTTAATTTCATCCTCCGATAACTGCCTCATTTGATCCATTTTATTTCATTTTTTACTCGCTACCTCTTTCTCGCCATGTGTCAGATACACTTCGGTTTCAGTACCACGGTTGACTAACTGAGATGAACTTTCAACAATCGTCATTTCTGTAGGACCGATTAACACGATTTCGTTATCTGAACTTGTCAACACTCAAATCTTGTGCGAGTAAAGCTGGTCATTATTTGTAAGTAGTAGGGGGGTTTGTTAGGTTTTTGTATAGATTCGTCGCAGTTAGGCAGAGGCAGGCAGCCACCACACATCCATGAAAGCGCTAGACGGCCGTTTCGTCCTATTGGGACTCGTCAGTAACGCGCACCCGTCGAATCCTGCCGGATTTGAGCTTTGGGCCAGCCCTGTCCTCTGCACATTTATAACATGCAAGACAGTGGAGGATGAGCTACGCTATATCGCCGTTAGATATCAGTCATGGTGGTCCACTGCCGTCGCCCATGGCTCAGTGACATAAGCCGCGCACTTGCAACTTGTGCATGACATTTAAGTTTTGGAGCCCCTGGGAGCAAGTGACCACTCGATGATCATAGCCAGCTTGGAACTGCCGCTGCCGTATTCTCCCCCGCTGGAGCCAGCCTCGAACTATTGGAAGGCGGACTTTAATGGCCTCAATCGAGCAGCGAGCCAGATGGACTGGTCTTTACCAGCGGATTCGTCTATTGAAACCTGTTGGACTATCATTAAAGAGGGAGTGAAATCGTTGTGCGTTCGATTTGTACCCCTCAAGTATCGGAAAGTTGAGTACAGCAAACTGACCAGACGACGACGCAGACTATGGAACAAATTCGTGTTATCTGGCTCTGATGAGGACTATAAGGTACAGCGAAATCTCTGCAACAACGCGAAAACAAAAAACGCAGAAGCTTTGAAAAGCAGTTTGCAACCGCCGCAAAAACTGCTCCCAAGAGGATCTTCGCCTACGTGAAGCGGCGCCCGAGACCTGCAGGCAATGTTCCAGTGTTGGAAAGCTCAGATGGACAGCCCCTAATCTCGAGCACAGATCGTGCGTCCGCATTGGCGGCACACTTCGCCTCCGTATTTACAAGTGACCAGGTGTCTGTAAGGAGTTCGACGAGTACCGCTCCAGCAGAACTAAACAGCCTAGACTGCAGCATTGAAGATGTACGTAAGCTTCTAGCGAATCTTGACGGGACGATGTCTGCTGGGCCTGATGGAATCCACCCACTGATTCTCAAGTCCCCATCGGCCATCGTCTCGCCTTCTGTAACTGAGCTGTTCAACAGGTCACTATCCACTGGAATATTACTGGGCGACTGGAAATGCTCAGTCGTAAAGCCAATACCGAAAGGTGGTAACCCAAGCAAAGTGGATAACTACCGGTCGATCTGTCTAACCGCTGTTTTAGCAAAGACGCTCGAGGAGATCGTGAAGAAGAGCCTTCTGCAGCTTCTCGAGTCGAGAAGCCTCTTGACGCCCGCACAGCATGATTTCGTGAAAGGTCGCTCGTGCATCACCAACCTACTGTTGACGAGGCACGAATGGTTAGAAACGCTGAACCAAGGCAAACCGGTCGACGTCATTTGCATTGACTTCAGTAAGATTTTTGACTGGGTAAATCATGCCGTGCTCATCGACAGGCCGAGGGTGTGCGGTGTTGGTGGCTCGCTGCATCGATGGATCAGGAATTTCCTTGTTGATCGAAAGTGGAGGGTCCAAGTGGACAACCAGTTAAGTGACTGGTATCCATCGAGCAGTGGTGTGCCCCAAGGCACTGTACTGGGGTCGATTTTGTTTCTGATACATGTAAAAGATGTGTCTCAGCTACTCCAATCACCTTGTGCGCTGTTCGCAGATGACTTAAAGGTGTGGAGTAATCCGCACACCCAATGATTGTGAGCTGCTTCAGCAGGACCACGACCGCCTCTCCACATGGACTGCAGAGGTCAACCTTCCGATCAACCCGGTCAAGTCGCAATTCATGAGGCTGGGTAAGTGTGGGCACAGTCGAACCTTCACGGTGGCTGCTCAACCGTTGCATCCCGCGCCTTTCGTGCGCGACCTCGGTGTACTCTCACGCTACGACTTCAAGTCCATGGACAACACGAATAGGCTTTACCAAAACAGCCTTTGTATGCTTTGGGCGCTCAGGCGCAGCTTCAGCACTTGGTCCGAAGAGATCGCCACTCGCATCTTCATCTCAATAATACGACCAATGCTAGAGTATGGTTCTCCCGCGTATTGTCCTATCACCCGGGGCGAGGTAGAAAAAATTGAACGAGTGCAGCATGTAGCCAACAGTCTGATTCCCAACTTGCGAGGTGTGCCGTACGAAGACCGGTGTAAGAAACTAGGGCTGTACGCCCTAGCTTATCGTCGAATGCGGGTTGACCTCATGATGACGCACCGGATATTACTGGGAGAGTACCCCATGTTGAGACCGCTGCTTCATCTGTGCACACCAAGCAGCACACGAGGAGACCGGTACAAGCTTGTCGTACCGGATTTGAAGAGGGTCGCTCACCAACTCTGTTTCGAACGCAATGGTGCATATATGGAACGGCCTGCTGCAGCACGTAGTTGAGGCAAAGTCGGTGTCGGAATTTAAGAAGTTCCTGGACAAACACTTTGCCGACGCAAAATATACTGAGCGCAACACAACATAACGGGTGCTTGTCCCTGAGTGACATTAGATGCAGCTACACAGAGCAAACCCTACTTGCTGCTTCCAACCAGTAATCATGGGTTCGAATCCTGCGGGTGCGCGTTACTGACGAGTCCCAATAGGATGAAACGGCCGTCTAGCTCTTTCCTGGATGTGTGGAGGCTGTCTGCCTGTGCCTAACTGCGACAAATCTACACAAAAAGCTGGTCATTGTTAAGAAATAGCAACGGGTCTAAAAGAATTGTGGAAAGTCAACCATCCTAGGACATGCGACGGAGTAAACAGGAATGAAATTACTTGGAATAGACGGAACAATATCAAATTGAAGATACGGGAAAACGAGGTATTTCAGATTTGCTTCCGCGTGTTAGCACAGCGTAAGGATGCTCCTAGTTTTGGCTAACGCACAGTTGGCTTACAAAGTCATCAACAGTATCACGAAGGAGACAAATCCGCATTCCCGTGTCGACTGGTGTATTCAAGTGAACACAACGTTATTATGGTATTGCCAGTATGTTGCAGTTCTATATTATACACCGCGTATGAATCCGAAGAAAATTAGAAGGTTGGTGATGTAGCATAGATAAAAATGAAGCGTAAATGGTAGTTGAAGTCAGACGTTTTGCACAAATGCACTTGAACTAAATGATGACAGCAGAGTACTAGGGTCCTTATTCGACGTGTTCGGAAATAGCTGCGGCTAACTCGAAGTAACGGCAAAAGCGACGCCGAAGCAAGATGACGAAGCTGCGTAAGTCCATCGTCAAATTTAGCCGATTAATCAGCTTTTCAAAATCCGGAACAGGTGGGTTGCAGACTACTGGTTCGAATTGGCCCGTTTTCCCATATCGTAGCCTGCAAGAACAAACAATATTTGGAGTCGTTGGGGAACATCCATGAAAAAATAGTTGCAAGGAATCCGATTTGGTTCGCTGCAAGCGAAAGCGGAACAAACGCTCAAACTGTTGTACAGCTTCAGTCATCTGAGTCAGATTAGACGACAAAAGCTCGTTGGTAAACGCTGCCTCGCTCGACCCGTCTTGACCATTCGTTATTTCATCAAGTTCCCCTTCAAGACTGGCCTGTATAATGAAAAAAAACGAGAATGAGGTCTGATTGTTGAATTTTGCAATATTTAGACGCGTGAATAGCGATCAGCGTGTTAGTACAAAAGCGATCGAACGTGATAATTTTTTGCCGTTCTTAGAATGATCTTACCAGAAGAAATGGACCAGTGTTAATTATGTCCCAATTTGACACATTGCGCTCCATGGTAGTTTCGCGTGAACGTGATAGACAGGATGAGCGCGAGCGACTAAACTGACTACCGATTTGGGATGAAATTGTAAGGGTAAACAGCGCCGCAGAAGCATTATGGCCCGTTCAGTTAGAAGATGTTACTACCTTCCTTGAGATCAGCGATCACAGCGCTCGGTGTTCATTCCGAACGGATCGGGCTAGTATTTAGCTCTGGTAGTGTGCCTGGAGAACAATAATTTAGATCATATTGTATGGTTTCGGTAATATGAGAAATATAAAACATTTGTTCTGTAATAAGTTAAAATATTTGTAGCTCCATTTAGGTGTCCGGGACGCTGGCTATCATATTGTGCCAACTTATGTTCCTATTTATTTTAGTATGTCAAAGGAACTGCTATCTCACAGCCGAAACCCAAAAGACCTATTACGGGCTCATGTAAAGCAATTCTCTGGATCCTACAAGAAAAGTGAGGTGTACCATGATTAATCAGGATCCCATTTACTCACTTATGCAGTGAAAATGATTAAAAATGACCAATCTCTCGAACTGACAAACCTGGAATAAGCAATAACACTTCGGTTTGGGCCCAGTTTCGGTATATACGCTTCTGGATAGACCGTCGCAGAACGCCGTATGGCTCGCCAATTCTTAACCGCCGTCAGAATACGCAGAAATGTTCCGAACCGGCACCTCATCGGTTTTAGCCATCACCGAACAGCCACTAGAAATGGTCGATCACATCACTCATCCAACCGGTATTGTCACCTATGGTTACATCACTGAAGATACTAATTTACGTATCAACAAAACCTGTGTTGTCTCAGTCCCAAACATATACGAGGATAGTCTACCAGTGATGTATGTAACGATATAGGAAGGTATCAGTAGTACGCCAGTGCGTCGTACCGACGCTTTGCTGCCACGCAACTCCGGTAGTCGCGCGCGCTAGGGATATTTTGCGGTCGACTGCACCCACGCGGATTCGAGCAGGTGGCGTTTCGGCCACAAGACAGATGCCCCATCTCTTCATCCGCCTGGCTGTGCAAAACCGTGGTAAATCGGGTTACTGTGTGGATAAAAAAACTAGCCAGAAATGCTAGACGGGTGTCATTCGCATCTGGCGGAAGCACCATGTGAGCAATGCTGAAGTTCGCTAACTGGTGTATGGAGTGAAACATACATCTCTGACTCGAGTCGCGAGCCAGATGGATTTGTCTCGGCTGCAATCGGCATCCGTTGTAGCTTGCTGGTCATTTATAAAGGATGAAGTAAACTCGTGTAACTGGTTTGTACTTCTTAAATGTCCGAAAGTCGTAGAGTTCAAGCCGCAACGGTTCGACAAATGTGGTAAACCGACACAGGGGTAAAAGGCATCAGCAGTACGGCGGTACGCAGTACAGACGCTTCGCTGCCTCGCAACCATCACGAGTCGCACATAAACTAAAGATACTGTGAGGGTCGCCCGGTTTTCCACGCAGACTCAAAGCCGCGCCCTCGGATTACAAGGCAGGTTTGTCATCCACAAGGGTACGAGCCGGTGCACGATGGTAGCGCAAAGTGCGGGACAAATTCCCTATCTCTGGCTCGGTGGACGACTACGAGAGTGTAAAAAGCAGCGAACCATTGGCAACAGTGCGAAAAAGAGCAAGCGCTAGCATTTCGAAGAGCAGCCTGCAACCTCCAGCACTGAGTGTGCGTCCGCGTTGGTCACCTATTTCGCTTCCGTGTTTATAAATGACCAGTTGTCTGTACCGAATTCGACGTGTATCACAGTTACCGAACTCGAAAATCTGGATTGTAGCATAGGAGAAATACGTAAACTACTCACCAACCTTGGCGGTACCAAACCTGCTGGGCCAGACGGATTCCAACTGATTACTAAGTCCCTATCGACCAGTATCTCACCTTCCGTGACTGACATGTTCGACAGGCCACTGTCCGAAGGTTCCTGTCGGTTGATTGGAAATGCTCGGTGGTAAGGCCATTTACGGAAGGCTGTGACCCCAGAAAGGTAAACAACTACAGGCCAATTTACTTGACATCTAGTTTGACCAAAATGTTTGAAGATCACGAAGAAATGTCTGCTAGAGCTTTTCTGGTCAAAATATCTTCTAACGCCCACACAGCACGAGTTCATGCTTGGTCGTTCACGCATTATTAACATGCTGGTGATGAGGCATGAATGGTAGCAGGCAGTGAAATAGGCGAAGTCTTTTAACGTGATCTACATCAATCTTGGCAAAGCCTTCGATAAGGTAAAACATGAGGTCCCACTCCACCGGGTCATAGTGTGCGGCGTTGGTGGCTCACTGTACCGGTGGATACGCCAGTCTCATGGGACGAAAGTGGAGGGTACAACACGACAGCCATCTAACTAAATGATATCCCTCTACAAATGGCGTGCCTCAAAGCACAGTGCTGGGGCCTATGATGTTCTTGATCTATGTCAACGATCTACTTCAGCTTCTTTGGTCGTTGTGTGCTCTGTTTGCAGACGAACACTTCTGGCGACTGCGGCAGCAAGACGTCAAACGCCCGTCCAGGTGGTCTGCAGAAGTCCGCCTCCCGGCCAACCTATTCAAGTCGGTAATCATAAGCCTGGGGAAGGGTGGTGACAGCCAAACCTACACCCTTGACGGCCAACTTCTACGTTTGTTGTATCGACGCGACGCCAGATCGTGACGACCCGTGAGATCGAACCCCGAATCAAGAAGAAAAAATGGGTTTTCACATAAGTATATTGACTCCAACGAAAATGAGAAAACGAAGCCGGCTATATAGACCACCTGAGCCTAGGTCACATGGTGAGTTTCGTTCGATTGATCAGAAACGGCCATTCGAATTGTCCGATCGATACCAGCTAGTCATGCCGGTTTTGAGCCGCAAGGCTAACATTCCACAGAAAATGCGGTTTCCCCAACAACGTTCCACACTATCCGTGAAACACCTTAGCGTACTCTCACGTTGTGAGTTAGATTCCGTGGACAACACGAACAGGCTATACTAAAACGAACTGCGTATACTATGAGCGATCAAACGCAACTCCTATCACTAACCTCCTCCTCCATCATAACACCGATGCTAGAGTTTTGCTCGGCCGCACGCCGGACATTCCATACCGCCAAATTCTGCCCCATTTGGGAGACAAGAAAGTTGCCTATGCCTCCAGTAAAGCCTATTCATCCGATCTCCGCCAAAGCCAATTGTATTTACCAACTCGTTTGTAACTGATGAAGTAGTTACATTGACAGAACAGATCGATCATTGGGGAACATATCCAAAAACGGATTGCTAAGCTATCGACACAACGAGCAGCCGAACAAGAAAAAGTATCTAAACTGCTGGCATCACCTATCGCTAGACATCTAATCGAAACAGGCCATGAGGTTGACCCTGGGTCAACATTTCCAGTTATCTAACAAAATGAAAACCCCAAAGTTTTGAGGTTCGCCGAAGCTGTGGCACTTAACCGGCATCACCCCAGCTTTTGTGTACAGAAACAATTAACAGTCTCCCTAAAGCTTCCTTGGGGCTCATGAGCCTAAGTTCAAGCGTCTACGTAATTTCCCTTTGTGACCAATTTCAAACCTTTGATTTTGCTGCCACGTGTTTCATAATTAAGTTGTTTACGAATGAGCAGATAACACGAAATAGTTCCATCTCGCAATACCAGTCGTCTCATTTTCTTATATAGGATCACTGGTTTACTTTTACGTTTTGATCATGTTTCCGTGGTTGTAGCAACTTAAATTTTTATTGGCTTCCATAATACATCAGCCAGTAATCTCCATATGGACGTTCGTGCCCTTTAGTCGCCTCTGCATTGACCATAATGTCCAATTACGTCCTGTCTGCTGAATGATTCCCATGGCGCACCATAATTATCGGCCAATCATGGCCATCCCACCATGTCAGTTAACTACCGCGCTGTCAGGTTGTGCGTAGCTGTTTGTTTGGCGTGGACATCGAACGACTTTTTGACGACCTATTTCCTTAACTTCCTTTTCCTCTCATTTTCCTCGAGTTTCACTTTATCCAAGAAGGAATGTATTCCCCGGCTTAAATGGTATCTTTGATTTTACTGATCGCACTTGTTTGTGACGAAGGTTTACCAAAGAAATTTTCCCTCGTTTGGGGACATATGTGTTGCGACTGTTGCTGTCGTAGCTAAAGTAGACTCTCTCACGAGTCAGCCACAGCAAATGAAGTGCGCTAGAATTACCTTACCACGTTTCTTTTTATAACGAGTATGCACAAGTCTCTTCTGCTTCAACTGACGAGCAGAGGCCCTGTATTGGGGCCGACTTACAAAATTAGAGCACGCGGACGACATAGATCTTTATAAACTTTATTCATCTACTACGCATGCGCGGCTGTACAGACTGACGCTTAGCACGGCGTGCTTTGCTATATGCTTTACATACTCAAAGGGCAAGGTAAGGTTGCAAGACTGGATCGACTGATTCCTAGCTTTCGCAGTCGTAAAACTAACGCTTGAAATAGCCGACCGGCTGGCTTATATGCGTATCTGGATAATCTCTAGCGGTCATATCAATAGACTGTCGATAAGGCTAGTGTGAATATTCAAAGTCCCAATAACGGCAGGAAATCATATCAGTGGTTAAAGGAAAGGTTTATGACGCCGCGATGCAACTAGTGGTAGTGTATAAACCACAGACCTGGTTGATGCGCGATGAACAGCCTGTGTTTGATCTTCGATGCTCAGAATAATCATATCTGTGGGAACACTGGGTGTTCGCTGGTTGTTGTTTGACAACAGACCTTCGGTCACCCAAGTAGTACCTCGTGCTTCTGGGTATCTTACGCCTCGACACTCCGGATGTTTCCAATACTTATGTGATATGTATATGCGCGAGATATCAACAGTGCAATTCACACGTTAGTGAATTTGCAACGCAGTTTCGCCCAATCCATCTATCATTAATCCGGACTATAGTCACCGTGTTCTCCCAGAATACTGTTTTACGTCAGCTAACTGTTAAGCTCAAGCTCTATGCCTTGCATATAAACTGTCGAAAATAAATGTCATAAACGCACGTACTGTGAAGGCCGAAACTGTATTGCTAAATCAACGACACTTCCAGCGCCAGAAGGGAATTTCGCTAAACTTGAAAGGCCGTTTATACAGGTATACAGAAAGCAACGCGGCGCAGACGAGTTATGTACTAGAGAACAAACATCTAGTTATTATAATGATTCAGACAGTCCAGTCAATGTGCGCACCTCCTTCGTGGTACGGTTCCGACTTTCCGTTCCGCTGCACATCATACGCAAAGTACCAGTGGTGGTTGATTTATGCACTACGCGTCCTTCGTCCGCAGCGATCCATGAGTTCTCTGATCTCTTCACATCCGCTCGTTTTTACACATACTGCTCACCAGTGTGCCACACAGGTATACAGTGAGAGCCACTCCTCTCTGTGCGAAATGTGCTTGGAGCTATCGGATCACAGGCGTGCTCAAGCTCTGATCTGAGTTGACTGCGGGGCATCGCTAATGTCGAATAGCAATAGTGCGTCCACAGCGATGTTATGCGCCGGTAAGTACTACCCTCTCTCTCGAGGAGGCG